TAACAGGCATAGATGACCCAGATATGCTTCAAAAAAACCCAAGTACTCTCAATCAAAAAGAGCAGCAACAAGTAGGCCTGCTAATAAACTCCATTTACATCTCCACTGAAACTGTCACAATCATTTGAAATAGCTACAAAAACAATTTCACTCAAGTTCAATTCTATATAATATGAAAATATGTTTACTAACTAGTCAAAATAGAAAATTATAATTCAAGGGAAAAAAATCTTCTAAAACTTTAAAATTCTTTTCAAGGTAAAACACACCCTCTCTATACTATAATGAAAGAAAGTTCTAACACAGCTGTAACTATTTAGGACAAAAAAAATCAGATCTTCCTTTAAGTCGAAACATATGGCTATTAAATAGCTATGATATAAGTTAATATTCCCTGTGTAAGATTAAAACTCTCTCCAATTAGAGAAACACAGAAAATACAAGTTTACATTCAAACAAAATAGGAACACCGTGACAGATCCGACCACCGTGACAGATCCCATAAATGTTTTCACTGTTTCAGAATGCAACTACAGGATTACTTTTTTTCTTTGAGACACATAGGACAAAAGCTTACATGAGATTGCTTATGTTAAAAAGTATATTTTTCTCCAGGTACTTGGAATGAAAACAAAACTAATTAGATAAAGCCCAAAAGAAAAAGACTCTTTTATTAACAGCCATTTACACTTTACTCCTAATGACCTGTCAATTAACTTTTTTGGTCTAATTCCAGATTTGGTACTAACCAAATGAGTATCAAATGAGTTGAAGGATGATTCAGTTTAAGCCTTATAAATTACAAATGAAGCCAAGACTCATTAATTTACACAAAAAACAAATGGTTAAATCTTCAAATCTTTGTTCAATTGTTACCCGCTTCAATGAAGCTTCCACTAATCCATTTAAAATTGCAACCTATTACCATTCCCAAACTCCCTTTGCCCTTAATCTGCTTTCCTCTAATCTCAGTCTTCTCTAATACTACACATAGGTTGCTAATTTAATGTCTTTTCTCTTATTAGAATGTAAACTTCAGGAAAGCAACTATCTTTGGTATATTCATGGATATTTCCAAGTAACCTACAACCTGCCTTGTACACAGATGTATAAAAGTTTATGTTTAACATAGAAGTTTTAGGCCCTTCTAAAAGACATTTGAGACGAATATCTCACTGACAAAGCATGATGAACAATTTAAATGGAAGCATGATGAACAGTTGCAGCACAAATTCTAAGTTGGAAAGCTTGAAGAGAAAGCAGCAGCAAAAGCACAAGGCTGAAAATCATTTTTTTTTAAAAAAGGGAGCTGGAGAGGCAGCCCTAGTTCTATCCCCAGCATCACAAAAAAGTTTTTATTCACACTGAATCCCGTACCCAAAGAAATTCGAATGTATTATTTAGAGTAACTATATTGTAAACCTATTAATCTAAAAAACAGGGAAGAAGGGAAGGAAATGTAGAATGGGAAGAGAGATGGATTAACTAGTGATAATTCCTAATGTGCCATGAAATTACATAAAATTCACCTAAATAACTGAGTCACAGACTAGCAGCTAATAACCTTTTGGATCAAAGAGGGGGTTAACAACAACAAAAAGGCTTTAGAACAATTCCCCTCAGCAATTTCATTACTAAGTAAAAATCACAATAGATAAAGCACAGTTCTTCAAAATTATATTCACATATATTATCTCATTAAGTCGTCAGAGGAACAAAATTCAAAATTAAATATAAGGGGCTGGGGTTGTGGCTCAATAGAGCACTCGCCTAGTACATCCTCATCACCACATAAAAAATAAATAAAATAAAGACATGTGCCCAACTAAAAAATAAATATTAAAAAAAAAAAGCTAACAAATAGCCAAGTAACTAACAAAAACTCAATTTATGTAATGTATACACTAAACAGTACACACAACTACTCCCTTGAAAATCCTCTCAGTATTTGACAAACTTCACAGAAAACTATTCTATAGAAGAACCACCTTCTTGGCCTTAGAAACTGGTGAGTCTTCTGAAGAATAATACAGCACAGCTAACAAGAGCCATAAAAAAATCTTGAAGCCCTCTGACCTAGTTAAACCACTCCTGGGAACTTTCTCCAGGGAAACAATTACACTGAAGCAAAAAACTATTAGTATAAAGATGTTCATTGCACCACTATCTATAAAAGCAAAAAAAGTGGAAACCCAAAACCAAAAATAGTTAAGTAGAAATTTCATTTAACAGATTGTTCTGTTTGACTAAAAACCTTTAAATATTTGATAATACAACACTAAAGGGAAAAAAGCTGACCACAAGGTATACACAATCACTACAACTACATAAAAACAAAAGGTAAAAAAGCAAAAGAATTGGATTAAAGTAAAATCATGCTCAAACTTAGGAATCTAGCTGCATTGTTCTAAGAAAAAATAGCTACCTTCAAATGTATTTGATAAAGACACAATAAATCATTTTCAAAGTCATAAAAAAATCTATTCACAAAGTCAGATATGAAATGTTAATTAAGGCAGATGGGGGCTGGGGATGTGGCTCAAGTGGTAATGCGCTCAACTGGCACACGCGGGGTGCTGGGTTCGATCCTCAGCACCACATAAAAATAAAATAAAGATGTTGTGTCCACCAAAAACTGAAAAATAAATATTAAAAATTCTCAAAAAAAAAAAGGCAGATGTGAATTTGGACTTTCAAGAATATTTTGCCATCTCAAATCAAACCCAATGCTACTTTTTTTTTTCACCCCTGCTCCCAGAATCTTATAATTACTGATATACACTAACGTGAGGATACTTTAGAAGTTGTAACTGATTTACAAATAACCCAATAAAGTGGGTAAAAATCTATAACAATTCTACATTGAAGAACTATACAGAAAAAAAACTTCCTGTGGATTCTATGAATCCTATACATTAGACAAAACTTCACTCATCAAAATAATGACATAAAAGAATTAAAAACAAGAATCTAAATTAACCTTTAATTTTTGTGAAGATTCAAGTAACAAAAAAAAAAGATCAATGATACTAAAACATTCCAAATATCTTTGATCACTCAATCTACTCTGGGTCTGGATTTTTGTTATAACCTAAATTTAAGCAAAACAGTCAATCAAACTTAAAAAATTGTCCTTTTAATGTTTAATTACAGGACTAGGTTGACTAGATCCCCACAGATTTCTTCCTGACACCTAAGAAGAAAAAAACAGAATGCATCCTTTTTTATCAAAATCATATGAAAATTTTTTACCAAATGACACTGAAATTACAGAACCCTGGATGGACTGATTAGGGAAATGGCCGCTTGATTTAACTAGTTGGGCTAAGCAGTGTTTGCAGTGCTTGGAACAAGGGGAAACTGGGAGTGTTGAGGGTTACAAGTCAAAAACTGTCCTCAGCAGCAAAGTTCCTTAAAAAACAGCTACAATTCATCTTGATAGGTAACTTCTGCTGTAGATGAAACTTCTTTGGAAAGGCACTGCTGAAAATGTGTTTAAAAAAAAAAAAAAAAAGAAAAGAAAAATCAGTGAATGAAGAATCCCCTTATCCTACCTTGGAAAGCCCTGGATGTCTATTTAAGGAGGTCGCTGGTCAGAGGCCCTGCCAACCAGGCCTAGGCCTGAGGGAGACACAGTAGTGCCTGCAACACGGATGGACTCTCAGGGCACAGAGGAAATGGACTTGTGTGCCCTTGGTGAGCTCTGGCGGCACTCCCCAAGTTAAGGACACCAGCCACAAAGGAATGGAGTCTATTGGCATTTGCTTCTTTTGAACACTAAGCATTTTCTTAGTTCGTGAAATACGAACTGACAACCACCCCCACCCCCCCACCCCCCCACACCCCCCGCCAACAGGCCTACCGGCACAAACACACCCTTAAGAGTCAAATCCAGTTAGCTGGGACAACACCAAGCCTCCAGCTTCTATCACAAACCTGAAGCATGGGTAGGGAAGAGGGGACAAAAATCCAAAGAAACACCCCATTTCTACCTTCAGGAACCCCCATCACCCAGGCTGCAAATCCTCTCCCCAAGAAATTATAAACACTGGGTCCCCGGCTTGTCACCTCCAGGCTGCCGGCACCACCACCAGCCCCAACACCCGAGTTCGGCCCTCGCCCACCACTCCCCAAAGGCGCCTTCCCCTCCGCGGCCACGGAACAGCAATGCGGATCGGCCACCGCCCGCGCGCGCCGGAGACCTTGCGTGGGGGAAGGCGGGAGGCCGGCACTCTCCACCCCTTCCTCAGGTGCGGGAGGGCGGAACGCTGCGGGAGATTTGCACCGGGCCCCACGGTTGCAGAGTTCTGGACCCCAGCTGCCGCCACCTTAGGTTTACAGGGAGGAGGGTGCAGGAAGCCACTGCTTACCTACCTCACCCCGTCCTTCCATTTTCTCCAGAACAGAGAAGGAGAAGGTTGAGGACAAGAGACCAACCCCAAAGATTCCGGAGGAGCCCGGGGGTGACCCTTCAGCGTGGACGGGAGACACTGCCCTAACTCCCCCCTCCTTCGATATTCCCTAACCCGGGAGGAGGCATGTTTCAGCAGACGAAACAAAACTAAAGACCCCTCCGATGCTAATTTTTAAAATGGGGGTGGGTCGCTGCCCGTGCATCCCCCCCCATTCGGGGCAGGAAAGGTTTCAGGGAGGTGGAACAGACGCTGACAATTGCCCAGACCCGCGAACCCCTTCCTAACACTTAAATGGGGAGGGAGGGGGTCTCGTCCCTCCATCTTGACCGTTCGGGGAGGGGGAGGGGATGCTGCAGAAGGCTGGACGCGGCCTGGCAATCCCAGCAGAATCCCGCGGCGCTCTCCAACCCCAGACCCGAGGCTGCAGACCCGAGCAGGGACCCCACCCCGACTTCGGGTCCCCAGCCCATCCCCCAAGCCGGCCGGTCATGGGGCGGGGACAGCGGTGAGGGCCGCGGGGGAGGGGACGCAAGGCCCCCGTTCCTACAGGCCCGGAGCAGAGGGGGCTGGGGCGCCGACACCCACCTGCCCAGGCCAGGCCGCCCGCCGCCTGCGCCGGCCGCGGCAGCCGAGGAGGAGGAGGAGGAAGCCACGGCCGAGGACGCCGAGACTGAGGACGAGGACGGCGGCGCGGCAGCGGGCGACGTGAGAAGGCCGCCGCCTCCGGGTTTGCGGGCAGTGGCGGCCGCGGGCGGCTGCTGTTGCTGGGGCTTCAGCGACATGGTGAGGGGCCCATACACTGGCTCGCACGCCGGGCGGGGACAGCCTGGAGCCGGGCGCGCCGAGGAGACGCCGGAGCGCGGCGGGGACGCGCGGGCGCCGAGCGGGGAGGCGCGGGGTGGCGCGGCCGAGAGGGCGGCAGGACTGGCGAAGGGGAAAAGGAGGACGACGAAGGGGCGGGGAAGCCCGCCGAGACCGAAGAGCCGCCGGGAGCCGGGCCGGGACGCGCCGCCGCCGTTGCCGTTGCTACCAAAACAGTCTGAGGCGGAGAGAGGCGAGCGCTGCGCGTAGGTAGGGGGGCCGGGGCCGCGCGGGGGAGGGGCGGCGGAGGGATACGCGTCCGGGTTCGCGCCGCCGCCCCGCCCGCCGTGCCGCGCCGCCCGCGGGAGCGCGCGCCACCCGGGCCGCCTGGCTGCGGCGAGGCGGCGAGGCTCGGTAGCCGCCGCGGGGCCCAGAGGAGATGCGGCCGTGGAGCGCATTGTGGGCCGGGCTCGCTGAGACGTCAGGTGTGGGGGCCGGGTGGGCACGAAGGTGTGGGCTAGGGACTCTTTACCGGAAGTCGGAAGGGTCGGGCGGAAGCTGAGCTTGAGAAGGCCCCAGGCCGGGCGGGACACGTGAGGATCTGGCGCTGCGCTGCGCTGCGTTCGCGGGGGTCGGGTGAGGGCCCGGCGCCCGGCCCTGCCCCAGTGGAGGCGGGTCTGCCCTTTGGAGAGGGCGTGGCAGTCTTCGCCTGCGGGGCCGACCTAACCTAGAGGACGTGAGGGGAGCCTTTCTTCCTGCACGAGGTGCCTTCTGCGTCCGCAGACTTCTAGGAGAAGACCTTGTCTGCCCCCACCTGATGCAACCTAGAAAATGAACTTCCAGTGTCTTCGGGGAGAGACGATGTCTTCTTGCTACGCATAAAGCGCCTAGAACGTTACCAGACTCAAGGAATTTGGCATCCTGTAGTTTTCTTTGTACCCCCCCCCAGCGCCAGGCACACAGTAGGCCCACCTGTGTCACGCGTACTTTCTTTAGCTGCCAAAATTGGAATCAAGCCACCTCCTGAAGACACCCCCATCTGATTAACTTTTCCCCACTTTTTCCACCCCAGCAACACAATAACCAGAAAACTCTTGGATATCTGACCTTGATTTGAACCTGTTTTCCCTCACTTGAACTTTTTTCCTTATTCACGAGACTCAAAAGGAAATGTACATGATTGATAGAACTATGGATAATGGGGTCTTGCTATGGATAATGGGGGTTTCCTTTTGTGGAAATAAAACAGACATCACAAGAATGTGAACTTCAAACCTTGACCCCTTTAGAAGTTTTATTTTAACTAAGGCAGCCAGCACAGTAGTCCTTTTTTTTTTTTTTTAAATATGTTGCAATTAAACTGGAAGCAAGTCAATCAATACCTTTTTTGTTAGCAGTGCATCTGGTTGGGGTTTTTGTTTTGATTTGGTTTGGGCACCATGGATTGAACCCAGAGGGGCTTATCCACTGAGCCACATCCCCAGCCCTTTTTTTTTTTTGGTTGGTGTTGTTCTTGTTTCTTTTTTAAAGGTCTCCTAAATTGCTTAGGGCTTCCCTTAATTTCTGAGGGGAGCTTTGAATTTGTGATCCTTTCACCTCAACTTCCCAAGATGCTGGACCAGCCTTACAACTAGTTTTTAAGGAAATTACAGGAGAAATAAACACCGAAATTACCCATAATCTGCTCAAATTGTTCACATGAAGGGTAAACACCTAGGAAAACTTGGAGAATGATTAAACCAGGAGTCTCCAATAGCCTAATTGAAATTACACTACATTAATTTACTAGTCAAGGCAAAAATGGCCCTTGTACTTAGCAAACACTTGGAAATTAAGAAATCCGAGATCAGTTAAAGAGATTGAGGAAATGTGATATTCTTTTAAACCCACAGTTGTAAGTCCCTTTAAAAATTAACTCAAAGCTTTGAGTTGGCTGCACCATAGCAAATGCCTATAATCCCAACAACTTGCAGGGCTGAAGCAGGAGGATCGAAAGTTCTAGGCCAGCCTGAGCAACTTAGCAAGACCCTGTCTGAAAATAAAATTGGAAAAAAGGCTGGAGATTGTAGGTTAGTGGTAGAGGACCCTGGGTTCAGTCGTCAGTACTGCGAAAAAATAAAAATTAAGCCAAAGGAATAGCTAGATACTGTGGCACATGCCTGTCCCAAAGGGAGTCTGAGGCAGGAGGATTGCAAGTTCTAGGTCAGCCTCAGCAATTTAGTAAGGCCCTATCTCAAATTTTTAAAAAGGATTGGGGATATAGCTTGGTGGTAGAGCATCCCTGGGTTCAACAGACAACCCCCCCACCCCCACACACACATTAACTCGAAGGAAAGAAGGGCCATAATAGAAATACAACCACTCTTCTTCGACTTTTGATGATTTAACCTATCTTTTTATTTTTATTTTATTTTTTTTTTGTAAAGAGAGAGAGAGAGAGAATTTTTAATATTTATTTTTTAGTTTTCGGCAGACACAACATCTTTGTTGGTATGTGGTGCTGAGGATCGAACCAGGGCCGCATGCATGCCAGGCAAGCACGCTACCGCTTGAGCCACATCCCCAGCCCTTAACATATCTTTTTAAAAAAAATTTTTGTTGTCGTTGTAGATGGAAACAATACAATTATTTTTATGTGATACTGATGATGCATGCTAGGTGAGTGCTCTTTCCTCTGAGCCACAACCCCAACCCCAATAGTTATATCTTTAACCAAGCTCCCAGAATTCAATCATAGGCCCAAATTCCAGGTAGATGGGAAGAAAAAAAGAGTTGAATATGAAGGCCTGAAGCTGACATGGCTGAATTTGGTTTCATTTAAGGCTGAGAAAGCTCAAGTTTTAATCCAGTATCATTGCAAAAAATTGAAGTTTTATTGAGACATGATTTACATATCATGAAATTCACCTATTTTGTGTATGACTCAATGATGCTCAGTAAATTTGTAGTCTTACAACCATTGCCACTAATCTCAAAACATATCATCACCCCCAAAGACCCTTCATGCTCATTTGCAGTTTCTCCTGGATTCCATCTTCAGCCCAAGGCAACCACTAATCTGCTTTCTCTATGTATATACATTTGCGTATTCTAGACATTTCATGAAAATGGAATCTTACAACAAATGGCCTTTGGTGTCTGCTGTCTTTCACTTAGCATCATGTTTTTGAGTTTTAATAACAACATGTCTTATGTGTCATTCCTATCATTGCTGAATAGTATTCTATTACTGGATATATTCAACTCATTTTGTGTCTCTGCTTCCCAGTTGACAGACATTTTGATGGTTTCAGGTTTGGGGCATTTATTCAATGCTGCTGTGAATATCTGTCTTCATGTGGACATTTCTCTTGGATAGGTTCCTACAGATGGAATTACTGAGTGCTGGAGCAAACTACTTATTTTTACCTTTTTTTTTAATTGGGGAGTGAACACTGAAGTGCTTAACCACTGAGCCACATCCCGGCCTTTTATTTTTTATTTTGAGACAGGGCCTCACTAAGTTGCTGAGATTAACTTTGAATTTGCAATCCTCCTGCCTCATCCTCCCAGGTCACTGGGATTATAGGCATGCACCACAGTGCCCAGCTCCCAGTTAACTCTATTTTAAACACTCCCTTTTTCTTCATGGAGAGAGGATCATCAACTAAAAACAATGAATATCTTTTTGTTGTTGATGTTGTTGTTGACAGACCTTTATTTTATAATAATATTTTATTATTTATACTCATGGTGCTGAGAATCAAACCCTGTACCTTACACATGTGAGGCAAGTGCTCTACCATTGAGCCACCCCAGCCCCAATGAATATCTTTTATTGCAAACTCTTCACCTCAAATCTAGATAGCTGAGAGTTATTTAACAGCAACTTTGTATCAAGGGGCTTTAGCTTGGGCTGGGGAGGTGGCTCAAGCAGTAATGGTATACCCGGGGCACTGGGTTCGATCCTCAGCACCACATACAAATAAAATAAAGATGTTGTGTCCACCAAAAACTAGAGAATAAATATTAAAAAATTCTCTCTCTCTCTCTTTAAAAAAAAGAGGGGGAGGGCTTTAGCTTTACATTAAAATATCAGAGTGGGCTGAGGTAGCTCAATGATAGAGCTTTTGATTAGCATACACAGGCCCTGGGTTCAATCCCTACACCAAGGGAAAAAGAGAGAAAATGTCAGGCTCACATTGTAGCTCAGTGGTAGAGCGCTGCTTGCTTAGCATAGGTCAGGCTCCGGGTTTGATTCTCAGCACTGCATAAAAAAACAAATAAATAAAGGTTAAGTTTTTTAGAAAGGGGGAAAAAGGAGAGAGGAAAATGCCAGAGTAACGCAGTTTAAAATAAATAATGTCGAGGCAATCATCTAAGATAGTCCCAAATGCTCCTTGCCTGCTGGTGTTTAGACCCTGTAAAATAACTGCCACTCAAAGAAGAGCTACACATTATGACTCCTTTCTAACTAAAACATGGGGAAATTATGACTTTCATTTCTAAAATTCAGGCACAAAAAGACTATGGCAACTGTCCTTCCTTAACTCACCTGCTTTAGGGAAAGCAAGTTGCTAAGTTGTGAGCTCACCCATGGAAAGGCCCACAGGGAACTGAGGTCTCCAACCAAGAGTGAGGACCTGCTAACTACCAACAGCCATGTGAGTGAGCCTAGAAACCAAGCATCCCCACTCAAGCCTCCATCTGATTACAGCTCTGGCCTACATTTTTTTTTCCCTTAAGACTTTTAGTTGTAGATGGACACAATACCTTTATTTTGTTTATTTAGTTTTACATGGTGCTGGGGATCGAACCCAGGGCCTCACACATGCTAGGCAAGCACTCTACCACTGAGCTACAACCCCAGCCCCCTGGCCTACATTTTATTCAGCTTTCTTAGAGACCTTGAGCTACAGACACTCAGTTAAGCCAATAACCCTCATATTGTTTTATGCTGCTAAATTGTGGGGCAATTTATTTTGCAGCAATAGATTACTAATACAATGACCGATAAAAGTGTTTTTCCTTTGATTTCTAAGTATATTTAGAGAGGTTGGGGTTGGGGGGGACATTAGGGAT